CCTACTTCATCTTCCCTTTCCAGAAGATCAAGATCAAACCACCCACCCGTCTACCTACCCCTTTTTTTTAACTGTATTTACTACAGTTATGGTTTATGGTTCAGTTATGGGCTTTGTCAACTTCAAATGGCACTATGATCCCCGACAGCCATGTTCTGACTCTCCTTCAGGCTCGTGAAAGAGAAACAGCATCGTCTGGGCCCCGAACAGCTGTCCAGCAGTCACGACTGCCTGTTACGGGGTCAGCAGCGGAACCAAGGATATCATGGAACTGACCTGAGTCTAACTTTTACCACACTGTAGCCAACACGATGGTTCTCACCATGCTGTCACCCCAGGGAAAGACTTCATGGAGTGAAGTACAGATCAAGGGGGTCTCCTATATGCTCTTTAGTTATGTTTCGAAGGATATCAGCGCAGTTCTGCATAAGTCACTAATCTGTGTTCCCAATCCTTATCTCTAAAATGAGAGGATTGATGAGATCTAAAGTCCCTTGTCACTGTAAGATGCTCTGATGGTCCTGCGACCTGTGGGTAGAATCACTTCTAACTCTAGAATTTCATAATTCTTCAGCATGTCAAGTACTGACATCTTGCGTATCTATAAACAACAAACATCAAGTTGGTCTAGGACAGAGTTTTTTGTAAGTGGTAGGTTACAGCTCATTAACAGGTAATAAAGTCAATCCAGTGGGCAGTGATCTGCATGATAAAAAAAATAAACTGAATGGAATGCACCAGAATCAAGTGTTGTAAAACTCTGCTTCAGTGATATCTAAAATATATACACACCTATGAATGGTACTGGTTCCTAAGTAAAATGTGTTTCTTTCTTACTATGTTTCTTATTCTTCCTTACTATGTTCAAAATGGTTTACAACTTACTGGTCTATAAAAATCTTTAGAACTATGACCAATGTTAATATTTAAGATATATATGTATACAGGTATTATATGTATGTATATGGATACTAATTTCCACTAAAGCCATTTCACATCTTTCAAACAATTAACAAAGGATCCTTATTCTTTTTTTTCCTACTACATGAGATCTACAGCTTTCTACTTTTTTGTACTCCAGATGATTCTAACTCTTTCCCTCCTCCATCAGCCCTGGGTTGACTTGCCAACATGAAGGAACTGGCAATTCATTCCTACTTAATCCCTGGTCTTTTGACTGATGCTGCTCACAGGTGCCCCAGTAACCCAAGTTTCACAACGAGTGTCACCTAAACTCAAGCTCTTTGGGATGAATAACCTACGTTTCAACCGGTAACCACAAGTGAATGGTGGGGGTAGGCAGAAGAGAGGTAATTAGATGCCACATTGAAACAATGTGAGTTAACTCCAGGGGAGGAGCCGAAGACTTTCCTCCTGTAGGCTCTCTCCTCTCCTTCAGCCTATAAGGCCCCCGGAGCATGGTTTTAGGACTGACAGAGCCCACCTGCAAAGTGAGAATTTTAACAGGCTTGTTTCTAAACATGTCCCATGAAAACTGAGACCAATTCGGTATGGTTGGAATGAACCTTGCCCCTCACAGCTTACAACCTGTTGGAAAGATAAGAAGCTATAAAGAAGGGTGAGTGATTGGGGGAAGCAATTAACCTTCCCGGCTAGCCAGAGCAGATGGACGGATTATTCAGATGCCATACCTCTCTAAGAGACAATTTCATAGCCACACTTTTAATTAATAGGTATTCCGTCACCCATCTTTGATTTTCCTCTTGTGATTATCTTCTCTGTGGTACTCATTACTACCCCGTTCTGGTGAAATGTCATTTGAAAATGAATTATCAGGGGGCGACTGGGTGGCTTAGTCGGTTAAGGATCCGACTTCGGCTCGGGTCATGATCTCGTGGTTTTTGAGTTCAAGCCCCACATCAGGCTCAGTGCTGCTTGGGATTCTGTCTCCCTCTCTCTCTGCCCCACCCCACCTCCCCACCAAAATAAATAACGTAAAAAAAATAAATAAATAATTTAAAAAAAAGAAAATGAATATCAGACATTGCTTCCAGCACACAAGAGAAAGAAAACTTTCTAACCTTAAATACTTTAGGCATCAATTCAGAAACTGGAAGATGTTCATCATTTATTGGAATCATTTCAACTATTTATTCAGTAAAAATTTCAGAGGGCTTTCTTTGTATAGCCAGTAAAGATGAGGAAGAGACAACTCCTGCTGTGGCTTGTTTTTTTGTTTTTGTTTAATTAAAAAAAAATTTTTTTTTTAATCCTTTTATTTATTTTTGAGAGAGAGAGACAGTGTGTGAGTAGGGGAGGAGCAGAGAGAAAGGGAGACACAGAATCCAAAGCAGGCTCCAGGCTCTGAGCTGTCAGCACAGAGCCCGATGCAGGGCCCAAACCCACAAACTGTATGATCATGACCTGAGCCAAAGTTAGATACTCAACCGACTGAGCCACCCAGGAGCCCCATTTTTTTTTTAATTTTTTAAAAAATGTTTATTTATACTTAAGAGACACAGAGAGAGAGAGAGAGAAATGGATAGAATCCGAAGCAGGCTTTAGGCTCTGAGCTGTCAACACAGAGTCCAATGTGGGGCTCAAACTCACGAAGGGTGAGATCATGACCTGAGCCGAAGTAAGATGCTTAACCGACTGAGCCCCACCCCCCCTCCCCCAGGTGCACCTGCTATGGCTTCTTAAGACCTCTCTGACACAAGCAGTATGATGTGGTGCTGGTCTGACTTTGGAGGTTATTCACCTCAGGACAGAATGTATTGGCCATCCCTAATATAAATCAGCCCTGTCTTTAATCAATGAATGAATGAACCAGTGAACCAACCCAGGATAAAAAACTGAGTCAAGATGAATACAAGGGCTAGCAAGAGGGGTTTTCCTGTCTGTTTTGTCATCGTTGCTCTAACAGCCAGAGCAGCCGCCGCAAGGCGTGTAAGGCCACACTTACCGGCTCCTCCGTGTTTAGAGGCATTTTTGACTCCGGGTCCTCCCACCCTGGAAGGTGGTTTGCAGCCGTGGTGTTGGTTACAAAGCCGCCATTCTGTGCCTTGATGCCATTCGTTCTCTGGCAAGTGGAAGGAATGTGGTGAAAGAACAGGCTCTTCTGTGGCATGGGCAGAAACCAGGCCACGGCAAAAGCCACCGAGACACAGGTAAGAGAGATGACATTCAGGCTGAACAGGGACCAGCCTGCCACAGAGACGAGGATCTGCCCGAGGACGGAGCCCACCGTAAAGCCCACCAAGGTGGCACTCCGACAGTAACTCGTGACCTTCTGGTACATGGTCAGGTCTACCACACTGTAGATGTAAGAGTAATAGGCGATTTCAGTGGCTGTGGCGATGCCATAGAAGAACTCCAAGAACTGAATGGCCAGCAGTCCCTGGGCGTAGAGCAGCATGAACCACGTGACAATAAGGCTGAGTCCCTGCAGCAGGATGACGGGTTTGTACCGGAGGTAGTCTGTGGCGAGGAACACAGGAAACAGCAGCACCAGGTACGAGTAAGTCCATACTGGGTAAATTTCATTGAAGACCTGATAAAAAGAGAAAATTAAAAACCTATTAGCGAGATCAACGGACCGGGGATATTCGTAACAATTTATTCTCATAAAACAACCTACCAGCACCTCTGATAAATCCTTACTGACCGAAGAAGTCTCAACAGCAATTCTGATAATTGGAATATACTTCCCCGTTTCCGCCCCATCATCTTTTTTTCTTTTTTTAAAGTTTATTTATTTTGAGAGAGAGAGAGTGCACGCACGTGCGTGTGCATGAGTGTGAGGAGGGGAGGCGTGGAGAGAGAGAATCCCAAGCAGGCTCCACGAGGTCAGTGCAGAGCCTGAGGCAGGGCTCAAACTCATAGACCGGGAGATTGTGACCTGAGCCAACACCAAGGGTCGGATGCTTAACGCTTAATGGAGTGAGCCACCCAGGCACCCAACCCATGATCTTTTTCCGAAAATCCTCCCCATTCATCAAGGCCTAGTTCAAAGCCTTCCTCATCCTGGAAGACTTTGCTGGAGCAGATAATATCTGTACTGTAACATTCAGAGCTCTCCATACTGCTTTGAACGTGTTGTCTCCCCAATTACCACAGAGCGCTGGTTCCTAACCGTGGTTGCACATCTCCCGTGGAGCTTTAAAAAATCTGGATGCCCAGCCAAAGGCAAGTCTTTACGACCTCCCAGGAGATTTTATCTGAGCCACAGCTGAGCACCACTGCCTTAAAAGGGTGGACTCTTCAAGGGTTGACCTGCCATGGCCTTCCAGTTAGCCTGCTGTGTGGATAAGTGGCTCAAAAACTGTGTTGGAAATGGATAAATGTTTGGGAATGATCATCAATTCTTACTTCTACCCACAGAATAGGGAGCCTTGATCCCACTGTTTGATTAGGTTTCTCTGATTTTCAGTTTAATTTCTTTGGGGGAACAGGTCAAAAGGATAAGTCTGTCCTACAGTCTTGACAGAATAATTATCTGTGGATGACAGGCTTACAGGCAGCTTTGATGTCCTTCTTTTTGCTTGCCTGAAATATGAAAAAAAAAAATAGAAGTTTTTGTTTTCTTTTTAATGTATTTTTAAAGTTGGGATAAAGTAGAGGTATCTTTACAATAAGCGTTCTACCAGAAAGACCCCGCTGGGATTTCACTCCCATCGTTTGCTGTGTGATTACAGGCAAGGCTTTTTTTTTTTTTTTTAGTTCCCTTTAGCCTTAGTCTCCATTATCAGTAAAAGAAGGGTAAGCCCTGGGGCGCCTGGGTGGCTCTCTACTCAGGTCACGATCTCATTGTTCCTGGGTTTGAGCCCAGCATCGGGCTCTGTGCTGACAGCTAAGAGCCTGGAGACTGCTTGGGATTCTGTGTTTCCCCCTCTCTCGCTCTGTCTCCCTCTGTCTCTCAAAAATAAACATTAAAAAAAAATTTTTTAAGAAGGGTAAGCCCTGCAACCACAGGGCTGTCTGCTGCAAGGACTAAGTGAGAGAATACATGTAAGTCATTCATTCCACTTTATTTACAGGTCTCAAGCCTTGAGGACTGAAGCTGAAGCAGACCCTTTGGGACAACATAACTACGTAAATCAACTGAACTGTCATCCCCACCCTTGCAACATCAATCACCGTAGGAGACTTTCCCCTCTCTTATGCCTACCCCAGGGTCTAGCGAGGTCCTAGTGTGGATACAGGGAAGCCAGTTTCTCAAATGACCATTTCAAAGTCTGAATCGGTGGCCCCAATTTTTAAGTGCTTTCTGAAAGGCAGGCTTTGCTCAACCAACTGAGCCACCCCGGTGCCCCTCATCCTTTCAAATATCAACCTAAAGTGCTTATATGTGTGGGTGGAATCCACTCCTAACTCGAAACCACGGTTAAGATGATAAAGATGAGGAAAAGTAACATTGCCAAACCTGTAAGGCCGTGTAGTAACGAAATTAAAGGCAAGTGGGGTGAGGTGTGACGGTGGGGGAAGGGATGGGTTCTTGTTTACTCATTCTAAATACAAGACCGATTTCATCTCCAGTGAAAGAGATCAGCCCAAGATGAATGAACGTCCCTCTCACAGTGTTATCAGCATTATAATAGCAACGTCCGCTGACGTGCACACACTACGATACCAGCCTTACCTACATGGCTTCGTTGAATCCAAACAGCCAGCCTAAGTGGTAAATGCTTTTATTAGCTCTATTTTACAACTGAGGAAACTGGGCCTTACAGGAAGGTTAAGTAAATTATCCAAAGTTAGCACAGCTAGTAAGTAATTGGTAGAGGGAGGATCAGAACCTCGCTATTCTCAATCTACCATACTGAAAAGCCTCATTTCTTCAACTGGAAACCTGTTACCGATCATGGGCTACGTTCCAGGGTTACTTCTATGGCCTGCGCCTTTTTCAACCAGTATGGAGGTGCTTTTATAGGGCATTCACAAAGACCTAATGACCACACAATCACCAGAGCTTAGTCACTGGGTCTCCCAAAGATCCTTTCTCTTTCAATGTTGCCACCGACAAACTGTGACACCGGAAAATGTTTCTTCGATGGGTACTTTTAATCTTGAAGGGAAACTTCCTCCGTGCAAAAATGTACAAATTACAGACTCTTATTGTCCATACCCTAGACAATACCTTCTTATCTCGGGTGAAATCTGCCATGTGAGCAAAGGGAACTGATTTTTATCGTCAGGTGCCTGCCCCCAGTCTTTGGATCAGAGTTTGCTTGCGTTTTCTTTCTGAGATACAGAAAGTTAAGAGAGAACAGATGTTCATCTTAAGCTCTAATTCGATTTAGACTTTATTTTAGAATCAAGTTCCAAGTAAACAAGTAGCTAATAAGCTCTTCTTTACACAACACTTCAAGCTGTATGGATATAAAATAAAAAATAAAAAATAAAATAAAATAAAACTTCTGTTCTGAACCTAATTAGGATATATATTCATATGTCATTGTAAGAGAGCTAGGAAATATGGACCTTGAAGGAGAAGAAAGGTAGAGGCTAACAGAAAGAGATCAGCAGGTAGGTATGGGAAGCTTATTCCAAGCAGAGATCACAACTTTGAGCACAGGCTAGTAGATGAGAGACTGGATATACTGGATTTTGGACTAGAAGATTAATGTGGACAAAGCTTGGGCACATGGGAGAAGGCAAGAAGAAAGATGTAGCAGAGGCTAAGGCTGTCAAGGAGGTAAGAGCCAAATTCTGTAAGACTCTGAATACCAGACAGAATAGGTAGAATGTTAAAAAAAAAAAAAAAAATCAAAGAAAGGTGGTGAATGTCGAATCATATGCTAAAAAAGATGAAAGAATAAAAAAGTGCTGGTGACATGGAACTCTATTTTATTAAAAGACTGGCTTTCAACTATTAGAACAGAGTCCATTTTTAACCTGTTTAAAACTTATAAAGTGGTACCTAAAACGGGTTAACATTTTTCCTGAAATCTAAGAAGAAAATCCTTCAAGCATGCAAAGATAGAGGAAATTCTGTCCCTCTTCTCCTTCCTTTGCTTTTGGACTTGGTTAACCATAGCTCCATTTAAGATGATCTACGTTGGCCCTTCTGAAGTCTTTTTTTTTTTTTAATTTTTTTTTTTCAAGGTTTTATTTATTTTTGGGACAGAGAGAGACAGAGCATGAACGGGGGAGGGGCAGAGAGAGAGGGAGACACAGAATCGGAAACAGGCTCCAGGCTCCGAGCCATCAGCCCAGAGCCCGACGCGGGGCTCGAACTCCCGGACCGCAAGATCGTGACCTGGCTGAAGTCGGACGCTTAACCGACTGCGCCACCCAGGCGCCCCAAGTCTTCTAGGGGTAAAGACAAACTTCAGAACATCACTGACCATGACCTGACCTTCACTGTGCCTAAAAGTCATGTAACATTTTTCATTTAACTGCCCACTGGTGAAAGCAAGCATTAAGTCAGGAAGGAGAACAAGTTGTCTATTTATTTCAGTTCTTAGACATTCCAAAAACCCAGGGTTCTGGAGAGGGTGACCGGAGCCATACTGTGCACCAACAACAGAATCAGCCCAGGTCCAAGGTACTCACGAACAAATGACACTCCTTTCTAGACCACCAGATTTCTCTTCAAACTCTGCCCTCCTCCTCCTCCTCCAATTTGCAGGCACAGGAATGTGCTAGGTGTTTGTTACATAATCAGCAAACATTTACGGGCCCTAGCACCCCTGTCCGGCCCCAATGCCAGTGAACATATTCTCTCACCCCAGAAGGCTCTGAGTAGACAGGGCACATGATGACACATGACATAACTCTCGGCCCAGGGCATATGACAAAACAGATCAGCTTTCAAATATCAACACAGAGAGCATGTTTCTTCTCCCCATGTGGCCCTCAGTCGGGCAAGGTGAACAGACTGTGCAGATCACATGGCAGTTCACATGAAATTTTCATTATTCGCAGCTCAGGAAGTATCATTTCTGCTTCAGAGTCAGTAGTAGTTCTGGGTCTCCAGAATCATTCTCTCTCATTTACTGCAGTCATTTTCTCCTTGTAAAATTCTGTTCACAATGTTAAAATGTTAACGATGTTAAAATTCAAATAGGGGGGGCGCCTGGGTGGCGCAGTCGGTTAAGCGTCCGACTTCGGCCAGGTCACGATCTCGCGGTCCGTGAGTTCGAGCCCCGCGTCAGGCTCTGGGCTGATGGCTCGGAGCCTGGAGCCTGCTTCCCATTCTGTGTCTCCCTCTCTCTCTCTGCCCCTCCCCCGTTCATGCTCTGTCTCTCTCTGTCCCAAAAATAAATAAAAAACGTTGAAAAAAAAAATTAAAAAAAAAATTCAAATAGGGAATGAATAGCTGTCACAGTCCTTCGTGGAGTGGTCCAAAAGACTGAGAAACAGAAGAGGTGAAGTTGGGTAAAAGTCAGTGATACTTGCTGAAGGTAAGACAGTATGAGAAATTCAAATGAAACCCTCAATCCAGGATCCAACACCGACTTTCAATTCCCTGCTAAGCGTCCTTGAAAACGGAAAGGCAAAGCCAACAACAAACTGGACTGTGAATAATTATATCCTGCTCTGGCCTGTTATGCAGGGACGGTGAGTTGCTACTCAAAAGAGGTGATTACTAACCACAGGAAGAAGAGTAAACTTTAAATGGAAGAAGTATTTCACAGCAACTAGGGCAGGGAGGGGAAGGAAGGAAAAGTAGGCATAGGAAAAATAATAAATAGTTACTAATAAATGCTCACTCATCTTTCACCCTTTGTAGTGTTCTAGAAAAGAATACCAGGCTTCAGCTTTCAGGCTTGTGGTTGAAAAGCAAAACTAACAGCTGTGAACCGACAATTCACCATGCAAGACAAACTGTAATTAAATGCCAATTATGTGATACCATCTCAGTATCTGCTTTTATCCCAGGAGGTAGGATTTGGGGGCTGGGGGGCAGCATGTCCCTGGACAACGTCTCACCTAAATAAAAATCAAAACAAATTAAGGGGACGGATAGTTGTTTGTCGTTCTGCCCTTATTCGAGCACATCCAAAAAGCCTCAGCTAATTAAAAGTCAAAACAAATTAAGGTGATGGATTTTTGTTTGCTGTCCTGCCCTTATTTGAGCACATCCATCCAGTCAAAGGTAAACAAAGTAAGGTATGGGAAGGAGGAGGGTGCGGCTGGGAGAGGGAAGATCCATTCCGAAAGCAGGGGTGACTCCGCACCTGGTTCTCTGCTTTCTTCTTTTTTAAAAACAAAGTTTGAGAGCGCGCGCGCCACGTGAGCAGGGGAGGGGCAGAGACGGAGAATCCCTAGCAGGCCCCCGCCGTCAGGGCAGAGCCCCCGCACGGGGCTGATCCCGCAAACACGAGATCGTGATCGCAGCCGGAATCAAGAGTCTGAGGCTTCCCGACGGAGCCACCCAGGCACCCCATGGTTCCCTACTTTCATCATTTACTAAACCTTTGTCCAAAGTACAACTGGCGGTTTCCACTCTTTTATCCGAGTACCCCGCAGCGCCCCCTCCCGCCTCCAGTAGGAACTGCGGGACCAATCTGAGCGGAGAGGAGCTGAACCACAGAGCAGCGTGAGGAGCACGCCGCCGGCAGCACACGTGTGCTGGGGCTCCCCACGCCGACACGAGCCATGCCCCACAAACCCAACCGACGCCAGAAAAACGGCATGGAGTAGCGCAGCGCCGGCCCCGAGCCTCCTGCCAGCTGCGGAAGGGCAAGAAACCCCTGCCCAGAAAGCCTCCGGGGAGCGAGAGCCGTTCCACTCGCTCTTTTCCTGAGCCGCCTCCCGAGCGCCGGCGGTCGGCCGCGCCGGCCCCCAGCCCGCCGCCGCGCCTACCTCCCTCTCCGTCAGGTTCTTGTCCGGCCCCAGCAGGTAAGGGGTCAAGAAGGGCTCGGACGGCCTGAGGCTGGCGAAGAAGCCGTAGGCGCACAGCAGCGCGGTGGGCAAGAACCAGCACTCGCGGGGCACGCGGGCCGTACGCAGGAGCGCGGTGGCCGCCGCCGCCCGTCGGGACACCGGGCCGGGCACATCCATTCGCGGTGCGGAGGGCGGGGACGCGGCCCGGCCCCTAGCTGTTCCCTTTCCGACGCCCGCCGCGGCGATGCTCGAGCGCTGCCCCGGCGCGGGCACCTGGACCCGCCAGCGGCGCCCCTCGCCCTTCGCGGCGGAGCCAGGTCGCGCTCGCCGAACCGCGGCCTCCGCGGGCAGCACTCCAGTCCTCCGCGGCTGCGGACGCCTCACATGTTGGCACCGGAGCCCCAAAGCGAGACCCGCCCCCGGGTCCGCCCCCCGCCGCCACCGCCCCCGGGCCCGGAGCCAATCGCCGCGGATGCCTGGAATTGGACTCTTCTCCCATTGGTGGTCGGCCCAGCAGAGGAGAATCGGCGCGGGCTGAGCGCGAGTCCGCTGACGTCCCCCGACCTACCCTGCTAGTGCGGAAAGTCATGGAGGACTGCGACTGGGAAAGCGTGCTTCTGGAGCCGGTGCGCGGCAGTCAGGCCGAGAGTAATCGGAGCACGCTCGCGGGCGGCCTGGGGTTCCTCCCCGTGGGCCTAATCCCCACGGAACGGAACGCGCTCCTCCACACACTCAGACTGTGGACTGGTTCTTAGTCACAGTCCCTCTGGACGCGCGTTTATTCAGACTCTCCTCACCGGAGACTCGGCCAAGATTGAACCTTGGGGCGGGGTGGGAGGGAATGCCAAACCTTTCCGCCTGCAGCTTTCGTGTTTTAAATTGCATTCGTCTGCCACAGACCCCAGAAGCCCGGGGTCTAAGCACTCGGGGCGTTTACCAAGACACCGAACGGAAGAAAGCGGGTAGAACATTTAGACGAGGAACGAGCAAGACGCTTAATAGAAGGACCGTAATGGAGTCCTGATGAAAGGGCTTTAGCTTTATCTCGGTCCTCTTTGGAAGCAGGGTACAAAGAAAGCAAACGGATCCGTAGCGATAGCCTGTGTTTTAAAAGGAAAGTGGGAAATCCTGAGTCACTAAAGCAATCAAGAAATATCGATCTCTTTATTAAAAACAAAGAGTCTTGGCATAATTTTCAAGGACAAAGCATGACAAGAATACCCGGTGCTTTCTCTCATCTCTCTCTCAGCCTCTTTCTGCTTGACTCAGCCTGATTCTCTCCCGATAACTTCCACCGCAGACGGAGCTGCACCATTTAAAGCATTCTTTTCCTGCGTGGTATTTGCAAAGTAGCAGATCCTGCCAGAAGCTCACAGAGTGCATTGTTGAACTCTCTATTTTGCTTTAATACATGTTACTACACACGGAGCTCAATTTCCTCCTGTGACAGCAAAGAACACTTTTTGCAACGAGATACATCAGCCACAAAAATCAGTGGGGGATGGGATGACCTAACAGGAAAGGGAAATTTTTGTTTTTAAGGCTGCACAAGTGAATACACCAAAATATGTGAGTTGGTTAATCTGAAGAAATGCAGTTGGTGGTATTTACATCTGTCGGTGAGCCTCAAAGTGTGATCCAGAAAGCCCTGGGAGTCCTTGGAACCTGTCAGAGTTCCAGAAGGTCAAACTTACTTTCATAATAATACTAAGACTTTATTTCCTTTTCCACTCTAGAGGCTACCTGATATGCGATGAATCATCACTCCAAAAGCTAAGAGCATGTGTGTTTGTACCGTTTTGTGTTTATTAAACTTTCCAGATTTAATTTCTGATCTGGAAACTAGCAATAGGAATAAGCCACAAAAACAAAAAGTCTTTAGTTTAGGGTCCTCGATAACAGGAATCTTGAGACCAAAAAGTGAGAACATCTGA